GCAACGGATCGATCTCCCCGTTCAATCCTTCAAAGCTCTTCAACACCCGTGAGTTGACGAGATTCGGATATTCGGATAACGATTACCCTCCCTCCGAATTGCAGAATATTGTGTAGCGAGGAGGGGATGCGTATAGAGAAACGTTACGAAAGATTGATCAAGATCTTCGACGACAAGGAGGCAGAATTGTTCAGTGAATGGGCGTCGACCGTACCCGAAACGGTCGATATCGGCCTGAATCGCAATATTCTGTCCCGCGAATCCGACTCCACGAGCACGTTGGCGGTCAACTTCGATCCCGAGCTTCTAGGCGTGTTGAAGGAGGTGAACTACTTGAAGCAAATGTCCCGATCGGACATTCCAGAACACGCGATAAAGGTGCCTCCCTTTGTCGAAGATTGTTTAATTATTTTTATCCACTTTTCTCGTACGAAGCGAAACGAAAATTTTCTATTCTCACCTTTCTCTTTTCCTCGACGAGGTGTCGGAAAACGCAGAAACGTTCCGCAAGTTCCGCGCGCTGTTGTGCGCGACAGTTTCCTCGTACAACAACATCCGCAAGACGAGCAGGCAGGTCGAGTTTCAGCTGATCGAGGACGAGATAAATAGCATCGATTCGTTGGTGTCTCGCGGGGAGGCGGAGCTGAGATGGAACTCGGACGGCGTCCTCGAGTACATGGTCGAGTTGGGCGAGCTGGTGGACGGGTTGTGGGGGCGGATCAAATCGACCCAGACGAACGTGGAGAAGATGAAAGCTGTGCTGGACGCCTGGACGAGGACGCCTCTGATGGAGAGGAAGGAGCGTCGTAAGGACGCTTTATTGTCGTTCGACGAGCGGCCGGAGAAAGTGTCGAGACGTTACGCCGAGGTGGAGAGGGCCGGCGAGCAGATTCGTTCGTTGCTCGAGGAGAATAGGCTGCTTTTTCAAGTTTCCGAGGAGATGGAGGAAGCCTGGCAGAGATACGTGGCCTACGTCGATGGGATCGTGATCGAGTCCCTTCGAAGGGCCGTGGGATGCTCGTTAGGTGAATGTTGGACTCCTTGTTTGTTTTCTCCTTCTTTCCATCTCACGAGCGATCTTGTTGTGCAATTGTTTGTCGCGAGATTGCACAAGATATTTATTGAATATTTATGGAATATTTAGAATTAGTGTGAAAATGACAAAATGCAAAAATTGTGGTACTAAAATATATCTGTTTAACTTTCGTTTTTTTTTTTTTTTTTT